ACCACCATGCATGAATGAAGATTGTAAAAGGGCTGCAGATGTTAAGCAAAATTCTTGTAATATTTCTCACACGTGTTTTGTCTTCACCATCTGTGCTTTATGACTAGAAATAAATAGAAAGAGTTTTGAGAGGTAGAGCTTGGGTTTCCTACAGGGTTATCAGGATAGACAAAATAACCCCAAATACCCATGGTGCCATAACACTTTCCTCTTTCATATTTACCAAAGAATCTAAGCTTCTAATAGTCTCTTGACTTGAATATCAGTCTCCATGGGTTTTCTCTACTGTTATAATAAGGAAAATAAAAAAAGTGGATTTGCTTTGTGAACACTCAACTTTTATTTTCAAAATTTACAATGTGTCTTTCTCAAGTTAATGTAATCTAAACCCCTAGCATACTGTGAAAATACCTTTGGAAGTGATGAAATGCCTCTGAGAAACTGGAAATACTGAGAGCCTCCTCACACACCATAGAACTGAGTGTTCTAATGATCCTGAGCAAAAAATTTAGGTGCAATACCTTTGAAAAATGATTTTATTTTTGTTGATCTTTAAATTATCTAATGCTCTATAAGGAGAAAACTTAAAACAATGGAAACAGGCATTTTAAAATTTGTTTTAGATGTCCTTTGTCCTGACCAATTTTGTTAAAATGTGAAGTCTGCTCTTTTGTTCTTTCCAATTTTGCAGAAGGCAGACCTGAAAAGGTTCTCAGTTTTCAGAAAAGTTAGGTAAACAAGAGTTAAGTATTGCTTTAAACAAAGCCTTTGGGTTAAAACAAAACAAAACAAAACAAAACAAAACAAACAAAAAAAAGTGGCATGTTAAGCTTGTTCATAATTAACCCCATTTAAAATGAACTCTAACATTCACGTTCACATCAAGCCCTTGAAGACAGCTTATCCTAGTTACGAAGAGGATGGGAAGTCCTTTCTTTGACGTAACTGCCATCAATTTTATGCATCCCAGCAAGGTAGGGAATGCTCAAGAAGCCTCAACACATTAATAGTGTTAGAGAACTCTGGAAGAGGATTTGCATAATCACAGTTTCTACATTGATTGTTGTTGAGCACTGCATCTAACAATGTTTTAATGTAAAGTATGGATTTAGTTCCCAGTTATCTTTCTCTTACAATCTTATACAATTGCCATTTTCACATTTAAAACCATCCTGCCTGTCATATAAAAAAAAACATTTTTTTTCGCCCTATTTTTCGCTTATTGGTTTACAGAGGATGGAATGAGAAAGACAGTGTTGTAATGAAGGGAGAAAAGAGTAAACCAAAAAGAGTAAGCCAGAAAGACTTATAATTTCCCCTTTTTAGTGCCAGAGGAATAACTTAACCTGAACTCTATTTTACATGGTTTAACTGTCACACTCTGACATTTCAGGAACAAGACACAGGAAATGTCTGTAGAGATTTGTCAGTCTCTTTTGCACAGACTAAATAGGAAGAACTATTAGGCAGAGGTTGAGAGAGATTTTGAGGTAGGGTTTGTTTGGGAGCACAGAGTGTTTGTTGTCCACATGAAGCCAGGTAGTTCACCTGGAGGTAGAAAACATATTTCTTTTTTTCTTATGTGAAAAAGACTGTAGAACAAGAGCATGAAAACTGAGGAAGGCAGAGGCAGCAGAGTGAGGAAGGAGAAAAACTAAAAAAAAGGATAGAGGGGAACTCTTTTAATGTTTCATATAATGTTCCATAAACACTACCCTTATTTGGTTTTTCTGTTCCATAAATGCTAAGAGGCAAAAATGGAAGGACTTTTTTTCTGGATGGATGCTTTACAAACATATGAAATGTGACAGTCCTTGGCCTAAAAAAGTTTATAGTAAAATAAGAGTTCTGTGGAATTTTTTTTTTTTTTTAAAGGAAACAAAACTCATAATAACCTGGTTCATCCTACAGACATCTATCATGGACACTACCAAACTTATTGAGACTGTAATTAAAGAGGAAACATTCATTCTGATTACACTAGGCTAAGCTACTCAGAACAGGTATTTGGCTGAAAGACAACAGAACAGCAACTGGAAAGTAGTGCTAGCAGTTGTCCTTTAAGTATTACTTCACAAAGACAGTAATTATTTATTTTGGATGTAACAGACGTGTATTTTTCAGTATCACTTTATGGAACAGTGAGATTAACTTTACAAATTCTTGCATTCTAAATTCTTTAGTTCTAGTTGTGTAATTTGCAACAGATAAGATTAAAGGAAGAAATTGCTGCATTTGTGCTTGAATACAGAACACGGTCCACATATTTGGTGGTAAATGGAAAGAGAGTTGTTTACTCTTACAGTATAAGACTCAGTGAGGTCTCTTTGAAGGGAAGTAAGAGAAATGGGAAATCTGGAAACTGTGAATTAAAGTGAATTTTAGGCCTACAATACTGTAATCACCTGGTTTGTCTTCAACAGCAACCATTGTTCAAAATAAGTAAAGATATGATAAACAGTGTGCCAGTCATTTGGAATGAAAGCATTTATACTTAGAAAAATTAATCATTTCAAGAATTCACATCATTATTATAGAGAAAATCTTAACCAGCTTAAACAAAAATTTCCATATTTTTAACACTGACATGTTTTTTATGCACTGCATTACAGTGGATAATGGATGAAGAATCATAGAATCATAGAATGGTTTGGGCTTGAAAGGCCCTTAGAGATCATCTAGATCCAACCCCCCTGCCACGGGCAGGGACACCTTCCTGGTTGCAACCAGACCAGGTTGCTCAAAGCCTCATCCAGCCTGGCCTTGAAGACCTCCAGGAATGGAGCATCCACAACTTCTCTCTTCACCACCCTCACAGTAAAGAATTTCTTGCTCATATCTAGTCTAAGTCTGCCCTCTTCCAGTTTAAATCCATTACCCCTCGTCCTTTCGCTACATGCCCTTGTACAAAGTCCCTCCCCAGCTCTCCTGTAGGCTCCCTTCAGATACAGGAAGGCTACTATAAGGTCTCCTCGGAGCCTTCTCTTCTCCATGCTGAACAGCCCCAACTGTCTCAGCCTGTCCTCATATAGGAGATGTTCCAGCCCTCTGATCATCTTCATTGCCCTCCTCTGCTCCAACAGGTCCATGTCTTTCCTGTGCTGAGGACTCCAGAGCTGGATGAAGTACTCCAGGAGGGTTCTCATGAGATAAGAGTTGCGGGACAGAACCACCTTTCTTGACCTGCTGGTCACACTTCTTTTGATGCAGCCCAAGATATGGTTGACTTTTAAGGTGCACGCTCCAACAGCTCGATGTCCTTCTTGTGTTGGGGTAAATATTTCTTTTAAATTCAGCTTAGTCTTAGAAGATAGTTATAATTGATTTGCTTCCATATGTTATCTGTAGGTTGAATCCTTTACCAAATAAGTAAAACACAGAAAAAACACATAATCTTCCTCAAAAGTAGTTACTGACCACACATAAAACATTTTAACTGTGTTACTGCTTATTCTATATCTTTTATTGTTTTTAGTAACATGGACACTGTACTCTTTTTCTTCTTTAGGCTCACAGATTTTCCATTGACAGCATGGTAACAGGGGTATCCCAGAGGAGAGCCATAAGATACCTTGCAAGGTGTGATAGAGAAAATTGCAGTAGTGAATACAGATAGTTAAAATCTAGATTTCAGACATGTGCAAAAGAGAGTTCTTCTGTTTGGAAATGTTTGAGAACAGGACTTTGAGTAAGGATTTAAGCATTGCCAAATGCACAAGGTAAGACACAAAGCTGATTGATTTTTAGTGAAGCTTAAAGACAGGAAAGAAGGTACTCTCATCAAGTACCAAGGAGATGAGATTTCAGATGGGACACTCAGATGACCCTTCAGCTGGGAATGATAAAGTCATCTGTTCAGCCTCCACTTTAGACTTTTAGTAGTCCTGACACTTAAAACAGTGGAGGGTAAATTGAATCTTGGCCAATTAGATTGTTCCAGGAATTGTAAGTCACATTCCTAATCTACAGGCAGATGTCACTGAGGAATTCTGTGTGTTTTTAGCTTCTCACACCCTTCTCCTGGTACAACTTGTCTGCTCTCTGGGATGGGACAGTTTGCCTAATTTCTGAGGTGTCTTAATCTCCTGCAGCCAGATTGAAATTTTCAGTATCCTTAGTTCCTGGTCTTTTATTCATTTTGCAAAGCCAAGTTTAAGGCAGTAAGCCCAGAGATGTGTTTTACTGACATTCAGTTTAAAGTCAAGTACTAGTGAATGGTAGTAGAAGAGACATATGTGGAGATCATTCAGAAGAGATTTGCCATGTAAAGCATGATTTAAGCATAGAAAAAAAAAAAATCCTACAAAAAGCAACCGACAGAAGTACTTAAGCAATTAAAGAGATTGCTTAAAATGAACTTTGCTTCCCTCATGGAGAAAAGATATGGAGAATAAAAAACAGTAAACAACTTACTAAGAGTTCAGAGATTAAGAACTGTAACAGGAAGACAACAGGAAGATTTACATTGTCCAGCAGATCAATACAACCTAACACTTACACATTTGTCTTCCAAATGCCTATATCACTTACTAATGTTTTATTAATGACACAAAAGTTATCCTAAAAGTACTACTTAAATATGTAAGAACTCTGAAGTATCCTTCAATTTTGTGTTCATGGGTCTATCTACTTGTACTCTTATTGGCTCAGGACCAAGACCATATATATTTACAACTGTAAACATCTTCCACATTTTTCCCTTCAGATAGAAAGCACGCCATATTAAGATGCAGTTTATAAGACTGTCAAAAAAAAAATTTTACAGCAAATCAAATACTGGATTATGTCCACACCATTCATTCCAACAAAGAAAGTACTAGAAAATAAGCATCACATACTGTTAGCTGATGCAGAAGGAACAAAGTCTGCACATAAACTTACTGAATCAGTTTCAGTTAAGATTAAATTTGAGCTCAGAAATCTACTTTCAAGTGAAATTTAGGTAGAAAAAGACTATGATGAATAGTTGTTTCATTTAGCGGATTCAGCAAAACACTTACTGTATGGGCATCCATACACTTCAATGCGCATTCCAATTCTGCCGTTCGTATTCCAGTCCAAAGGCACAAAACGGAGAAATCTTGCTTTAATGGAATGCTGAAGCTTATAGAATACAACATTGTCTGCATTTGTGTTTCCCGAAAAGGCCTAGAAGAAAATGAAAAAGAGATCAGCCACATCCATATTGAATACAGAAACATATTGAAGTATTGTTGATCTTTTCATTTTATACCCTCATCTGGCAAACACCAGAATAAAGCACAGGAGTAAAATGTAATTGTCAGTGAATTCCATGGGAACAACCACTGAATCAATCATGATTATTTTTCTGGATCATGAGTTAAGTAATCTGTGCATTTAGTACTGACACCACACTCAGTGAAAAATCTCTCAGCTTTTAAAATTTAAATGAACAGAACATTTCAAAGCCAAACATTCCTTTCACAAAGTGTGTTGAGCATCCTGTCATTTCAGGATACTTTTTCATAAGACAACAGAATGAACTCTATGATTTCCTCTTACCAAAAGGTTAGATAAATTTCATTGCAAATCTGTATTTTAAATGTGTGGTATGCTGCATCCAAAAAGTTCTTATGCTGAGAGACCACGGTGTTAAAAGACTCTGGTTTCCAACTAAAGAATCCAGAGTATTATAGAAGGATTTCAATACAGTGTTCTGTTGAAAAATAAAAATCTAACTTTTTTTCCCAGGTGAGAGATAAAAAAATTAAGTATTATCATATAAATGTTTTTTTGGCAGTATTTAACAGATGAGACTCCTTTCCCTTCTTGTTACATAAAGAAAACAAAGAAATATAATGAAATGTAAAGAAGACTGTAAAAAATATGAAGAGTTGAAGTAATGAACTTTATCATCTTAAAGACTGGGCAATATTTTCTGATTTTGTTGGTTACACGTTCAGATGTTGTGTTTTGTTTTGGTTTTTTTTCTTGTTGCCTGTTTGTGGTATGTGAAGCAGAAATAATCTGTTCAAATATTTTGGATCTAAATATTTGATAAATTAGACAGAAATAGCTCTCTGAAATATTTTGACAAACAGAATTAAAAAGATTACGCATTTCTGGATATATAGACAGTACTCTTGCTGTAGCTGTAAGCCACAGATGTTGCAACTGCAGAAGTATGTAGAAACCAACATCTCTAGGTATGCGGCTTCTCTTTCCATAAGTTTTTGAAGCAGAGGTGACCTTAGTTGCATTCACTATCTACCCTCCAATATATGAATCTTTGCACCTTCCCTCCCCTGTATTAGTAGAGTTTTAATAAATTCTAATCTATGAATATTCAGTAGAAAAAAAAATAAAAAAAGAAAAGAAAAAAGAAAACCACTAGTGAATGGGCTCATTAAAGCTAACCTATTAAGCTAGTAAATAAGCAGTGGGAGTTGGTGACTCTGAATGTCCACATCACTTTCAGCTTCATGTTTTGTAATTTTACTATCACAGTGGGTGAAAATGGAAACATGCTAAACAAGCACCAGAGAAAAGCTACTACTTGGAGGGTGAGAACTTTCCAGACCTCTTGTCCGTTCAAATCCCTATTTGCAGTCTGTAACAAATATAGCTGCCAATTAAAGTGCCAATTAGTTTGTTGACTGAACCAGAACCCAGGCCCAGAAGTTTAAGTACTGGGAGCAAATTAAGTGTTAGATTAAGATTTAATTTTTTTCCAAAATGATTTTCAGAGGGCAGCCTCCTCATGAAAATTAGTTGTTAAGTTTTGAGTACAGAATGCATATTACTTGATTTTTTTATTGCTGGGTATACTTAAGCCATGTGTTCTTAATTTAAAATTATGTTTTTTACTTCAGTAACAGCTTAAAAGTAATTCAATCTACTCCTTAAACCATTCAGAATGGTCAGTTTCACTATCATTATTTTTAGCTGTCATTCTACAAAGCTTTTATCTTGAAAGAACCCATTTTAAAGTATATCAAACTTCTTTTAAGCTACCTACTCAATTTCCAACCCTCTAGTTTCTTTACCTCAATGTATTTTAACCCTGCTTTGAAGACAGAATTATTCAGTTCATCATGGCATCAGAAATCACACATATGCTGTGGACTGTATTAGTAAAGTTAAATCTTGTGTATAGAAGGGTGTCACCAAGCTCAGAATGATTGTGAATGTAAGCTTACATCAAGATAAGGTAAAAAGGTAGTTCTTTATTTTCCTCTCCATCCTCTATCTAGAAAGCAAATGTGGTTTTTTTTTTAGACCATGGATAACACCAGCATCATGTCCAAAACTTCCTGAACCAGTGGAAAAGTCACCCACAGGTAAAGCTGTGTATGAGACATGCACTGCGTATACTGAGCCACACTTCAGATCACTTAGAACAGATTACACTTATTCACAAATGCAACTTTTACTGTATAATATACTATATATACACTGTAAAACACACTATAAAACTAATAGGTACAATGTTTTTGCATATGTTGTGTACCCATCATAAGAGATATTATATTTATTATAGATATTACTTTGTATTAAATACAAATACTACTATGTTAAATAAGTATACATAGATACAAATTCTCATTTCATGTTTAATGACAAGAACTGGAACAGGACCCCACCCTGCATAATTTTGTCAGAAGAGGAAGTTTAGCAGTGATGTAGTAGTGTATTGCAAGAAGGTCCTGAGCTACATCGTGTGTTTTCTGGATACTACTACCAAAACCAGCAAAAGTAGTTGACAAAATCAGTGTGAAGTAACTAAGAGCTGTTCCTATGAAATACTAGTTGTTGTTGCATGATGATGGTTATGCTTTGGAAACACTGTCAAGACAAACTACCTGTACAAGTCTTTCTGCTTATAAGACACACCAAAACCGTAGTTGGTACTAGTGCTAGGGGTTGTCAGGAAGGGAACAGAAATTCCAGTAAGCTACTGGCAATTTCTTCACTTGGAGCATGCTCAAACTACTCTAATAATGATGCAGGATTAACCCACCCGAGCTCTTCAGAAAACTAAGGGAGTTCAAAATAAATTATTTTCTTCCATAACTTCTAAGCTATATCCAAGTTCATACACAAGTTTTACTATTTGCATCTCAGTAACAAAAGGAGTGTCTATTCAAGTTAACCTAGCAAAAGCACACAGTACTATTATCATCAATATCAATTAAATATTCACTGCACAAGAATCTGAACATTCAGACTCTTCCTTCTCATCCTATTACCACTGTGAGAAGTTATTATTAGTCTTTTGAAGTCAGTCCTGAAAGTCAACAGATGTGAATTGTTTGGTTAAAGTGAAAAAATGAATATGAAACACCTTCACTCTGATCAGAAAACACTGTACTAGACAACTGCCTCCTTTACTTGATCTGCAGATTGAAATAATAGCTAGTAGAAAATTATTGCATAGATAAGGTGATCAAAGATTGTTAGGGGTTTATTCATTATAATCAATGATTCATGCAAAAACTGATAGATCTGTTAGCTATTAAATATTAGCAATAGCATCTTATTGAGAAGCCTTGTGCCATAAGTTACTCACTGTGTTTTTCAACAGGTCTTGTCTCTGGATTGTTTGAAGGTATAGTTGAACTATTCTAGAGTAATCTTAAACTGATAAAAATACATGATAGTTGCACATATTAATAAATTTGATCACAATCCCTTTTCTAAAGATGAACAGTATATGTAAATGGCAACATGATTAGTATAGACCAGACAGAAAAAACCTTGGTTAGAAATTCTCGTTACAGTCAATGTCCACTGCTTGTAACCTCTTGTGCTATTTACACAGGAGCAAACTCCATCTGGCAAGTTCTGAGATATTTAGATCATCTGTACATTGTGCACAACATCTGACTAATGCTATGGTCAAAAGAAAAGTATCTGACTAGCTATAGCAATAACTCAATTTCCAAGCAAAACAGTGGAGGGATCTTAAAATCACTGACGTGCCACAACCATGAATAATTGGTATTGGATATATTGATGTCATGCACAGGATATTATTTTTGTCCCTTCATCCAGTGGTTTCCTCAATCTATCATCTTCCTTAGTTACAACAGAATTTGTGCTTGCTTGCTTTTTGTTTATTTATTAGCTTTTTATCATATAGATATTTCTAATGTGCTTGGTTAAAAGATTTCAAATGTTTGCAGCATACTGATTTCATCATTTAACGTTATAAACTTGAGAAAGTACAATTCCATTTGAACGAGGTGTTTTTTGAAAAAACAAAAAATAAGAAAAAAAGAATTTTTAAAAACTCTTCTGAAATAAGGTATTTCAAAGACAACTTCATCTATATTTGTATTTTTCACTTAGTCTTTTTGCAGTCCGTTACGGATGTTTTGAGGAATACCATTCAACATCACATTTTAAACATCCCTTAATTCATTGTACCATAGAATTTGTCATTAAAGTATAATTTATTTTGCTTTTAGATCAGGAGTTCAGAATTGGATTCTTATAGCTTTTATCACTGAAAATACTACTGTTTTTGTCTTATAGAAAATAATTTCATCTACTGAGAGGAACAAAAATCTCTCATTTAGCTACTTGGCACCTCTGAGTACTATTTAAATTACAGATGGCAAAAATGGACTATTGAGTGCTCTTCAGAATGTTTCAAAACACTATTTATTTTGAGACTGCGTTACTAATAGTTTTATACATGATAAATTAGAAATATAGAAAGGGAATTTATTTAATTAAAGATTACATTGTATATAGTTAACTTATATAGCTTCCATTCATAAGAAGTAACTAAACTGTGTCTCTGCTTATTATAGAACACCTCAAGGTGAATTATTCTCATGTAGTATGATGAAAATCAGGAAGAGAGTGGGTATCTTTTGAAGAAACAAAACTCTAACTGCTATTTATAGTTCGGTATAAATTGTTCGGTGTCCAAAAATTCTCTGAAACATTCCAGAACAAGATATCGGTTCCGTCCTGTAGTGTATTTTACTGTTTATGGCAGCACATTAAGGGGAATGCTTTACTGCATTAAACTGGTTGGTTGACATGTATGACCATGACCTAATCCTCTTTGCTGTCTACTAGTATTTCTTCTGAGATTTAAAACTCAAGCTCCTTATATTCATGTTTATATTATCCAGCTCATAGCTATTGCCTGTTACATGGTCTTGTCATTTCAC